GGAGGATTTGGGGCAGAGTGATCGGATCTGACTTGACATTTTAACAGAAAGCCTCTGACTAGGGTAGGGTAGGGAAAAGACTGCAGAGTGGCAAGGACAAAAGTAAAAAGCATGGAGGAGGCTAAAGTAGTAATCCAGTGAGAGAGCATGGGTGCTTGGACTAGGGTGGTCACTAGGTGGTGGTAAGAAGTGGTCAGGTTCTGGGTATATTTTTTTTTTTTTTTTTTTTTTTTTTGCGGTACGCGGGCCTCTCACTGCTGTGGCCTCTCCCGTTGCAGAGCACAGGCTCCGGACGCGCAGGCCCAGCGGCCACAGCTCACGGGCCCAGCCGCTCCGCGGCATGTGGGATCCTCCCGGACCGGGGCACGAACCCGCGTCCCCTGCATCGGGAGGCAGACTCCCAACCACTGCGCCACCAGGGAAGCCCCCTGGGTATATTTTAAAGGCAGAACTGACAGGATTCACTGACAGATTGGATGTGGGGTATTCGAAAAAGAGAGGATTCAAGGATGACTTCAAAGATTTTGTCTTGAGCAATGAGAAGATGAAGCTGCCATTTGCTGAGACACAGAAGACCAAGGGATAAACACGTTTGGAGAAGAACTTTGGTTTTGGTCATATTGAGTTTAAGATGTCTATTAGACATCAAGTGGAAACGGAGAGGAGGAAGTTGGATACAAGTTGGAGTCAGGAGTTGGTAAGAGGGTGGTGGGGACTTCCATAAGGGGTCTATGTCAAACTTTAAGAATACAAAATGGGGGCAGGCATTTGGCAAGGGCAAAGTATGTAGATGCTCTTCTGCATTTCTGCCGTATTCTTGAGAGCTGTTACATGTTTTTCCTCTCATCTCTTTTTGATGGTAGTCTCTTAGCAGAGACTAACGTTTACTGTGCATTTATTATGTGCCAGACACTTTGACATCTAGCATCCCATTTCAGCACAGTTATCTCACAAAACATATGTTGTCGTCTCCATTTTACAGATGAGAAAACTGAGGCTCTGTAAGACAGGCAAAAAATCACTTGTCCTAAGTCACACAGCTGGTAAGTGAGGATCTTAAGTCCTAAGCCCATGTTCCTCCCAACTATCTGCTTGTCACTAAGTGGGTCAGAGAGTCAACTCTGTGATTTCTATGTCAGTGATTTGTTCTGTGGATTAACCAGAGCTAAGAGGTATTTAAAAGCCAGTCCCTGCCCAACTCCTTAGCACCTTCTGCCCAATTGGTGGGTGTTCAGAGGCTGTCAACTTATTTTGAACATTTATTCTTCATATATTGTCAACTAATATTTTTTTAATATTAGGACCAGGCAAATAAAATTAGGAGGGGAAATTTGATGGGACAGAAAGCCAGTGAGGTATTACAAACCAATTATATTTGAATTTCTGGATTATCCACAACTCCAGCAGTGGCACAAATAAGAGGATAATTGCACAACTGGTTCTATTTCCTTTATTTCTTTCGATAGTGTGTTATACAGCTCTGCACACAGTACATGCTTCATAAGTGGTACTGACAGGCATCCTTTTGCTCAGTACCATTTTTGGAATTCTAGGCAGTCCAGGTTACCATAGCAGATGTCATGCCCCATTCATTTGACAAACAATACTGTTATCTACTATGTGGTAGATGCTATGCTTTGTACTGGGACTACCAAAATGGAAAGGACATGATTTTTACTATCACGTTGTTCACAGGTTAATGGTAAGAAAGCCTGCAAATAAATACAAATACGATGTGGTCAGAGATATCATTGAGATATGTTCAGGGTGCAGTGAAAGCAAAAAGGGAAATCTGTTTGGAAGGAGTTGCGGGAACACATGATTTGATTCTTGAAGAATTTATCAGTTTTCCAAGGTCGGGGCATTCCTGGCAAAGAAACCAGCTTGTGCCAAGACACATAAGTGTGAGAAGTGTCAGTGACTTTAGGATTGTGGGAGTATGGGTTCCTTGTAGGGTGGCAGAAGATGAGGTTGGAAGGGCAGTTTATAGGTCATGCTAAGGAGCTGATATCTTGTCTCCTAGAGTACATGGGGCCAGACAGGTAAGGGAAATGGGTAACAAGGACAGTAATGGAGGCTAAAGGAAGAAGGTGGGGATGACTGTGTGGAACTTGATTGCTCATGCTTGTCTCAAGGGGGCAATTCTAGCTGACTGTAGCCATATGGGAATGTGGATCCAGTGTTAGCATGCTTTAAAGAAATAGGGATTTTTTGGGTGAAATCTCCTGATTTCTGGATCCTGGCAATTATTATTTTTATCCAAAATTTTAGCCAACACTGCACCAAACACAACGCATCTGTTGGCTGGATGTAACCTGCAGGCTGTCATTTTGAGACCTGTGTTGTAGAGGATGGGGTACTTATGGAAGCATAGAAGCGAACTGAATTAACACTTCAAAATACTTTTTAAAACTAACCATGTAGGGCTTCCCCGGTGGCGCAGTGGTTGGGAATCCGCCTGCCAATGCAGGGGTCACGGGTTCAAGCCCTGGTCCGGGAAGATCCCACATGCTGCAGAACAGCTAAGCCTGAGTGCCACAACTGCTGAAACCTGTGCTCTAGAGCCTGCGCCACAACTACTGAGCCCGCGTGCCTAGAGCCGGTGCTCTGCAACAAGAGAAGCCACCACGATAGGACTGCGTGCCGCAACGGAGAGTAGCCCCCTGCTCACTGCAACCGGAGGAAAGCCCGTGCGCAGCAACGAAGACCCAACGCAGCCAAAAATAAATAAATAAATTTATAAACAACAACAACAACAAAAAAAAACATCTAACCATGTACATTCCTCACTGGATTACCCCATTCCAATATTTCTACTTCATATTAAGCCATATGTTCTTCCTCTTGGGAACCAAAGTGAGGTCCCAGATCAAATGCAATTTGCAGGACTTCTGAAGGCAATGGTGCAACCCAGGGTCTTCAGTCAAGCTGTGAAAAGCCTGGTAGAACATGGTAAGCTGAGACTAGTAAGGCCCCTGAGCACCACCACCACTCCCAGGAGTGGCTGTTATTTGTTCCCTTTTCACTTTAGGGGAAGAAGAGGCAGCCTCTTTGAACCCTTTATGCAGCCAAGTCAAAATAGTCAGTGATAACACAGATAAAACACAATATTATAGCTGTTTAAGTTCAAACTCCTCATTTTACAGTTGGAGAAACTAAGGTCCTCAAAAGCAGTGACTTTCTCAGAATGACCCAGCAAACCAGTGGCAGGGTCAGGTCTACTGACTCCTAGTCTAGCATTCTTTCTAATAATCCTGGGCTGTGATAATTAAGTTAAGTCAGCCTGGCAGTTCCTCCAGCCAGCATCTAGAATTCCTTGACAGAATAAGGAGAATTTGAGATTAGCTAAGTGCCCCTTTTTATTTTCTTATTTGCATGATGATGATATTCTTTGCAAACTTTAGAGTTCATACTTAAGGGCTAATGAGGAGACACAAAGATGTTTCTGAAGCACTGAGGCCATTCCCAAAGTGTCTGAAAGAAAAATTGCCTGTGGCTAATATATTTAAGGTTTACGACCTCTGTAATCTTTGGACTGACCTCCCCACCATATGCTTTGCTTTTGTTTTGTTGTTTCTCTTCTTTTCTATTTCCCCCTATTTTTCTTCTTTTTCACCAGCCTAGGTCTTAGGCCTACCCTTTTCAAGTCAATAAAACTGCTAATTATTCATAACATGGGAATGGGAGTGCATAGTGACCAAGAAGCATACATATTTCCCCTGCTAATGGTCATTTAGCTCTCTATAATCTCGGACTAGTAAGTCTTGTTAATTTCGACTCAACTAATCCTTTCCATCTTTCATTTCAGGGTCTATTGTTCTGACATTTGCCACATTTTTTGTTTGTTTTTTTGCTCTGAACCCTTTTCAGAGGGTTGAAGATGCTGCAGTTGCAGCAGTGTCCATCTGGAACATTTGGCTGAGTTGTTGAACTTCCCCCAGGGACTACTCCAGGGAGAGGAGGAGAGGGGTGGAGAGGCTAGAACGGTTGCCTGCAAATAGAGATGCCAATACTGTCTGGCCATTCTGTGGACCACCCATGTAAAAATCCACCTTATTCTGGCCCTCAGTTTCCCCATTTGCTCATTGAAGGCACTTGTTCTCCACTCAAAACTCCTGCTGCGGTGGAAGAAGAAAACTACACTGGCTGTAGATTCTCTCGTACAGCAATTTCTACATGTAAAGGGATCAATACTTTGAACTAATTAATATACCAAGAAATCCTAGAGGACTGTTTTATCCTGCGTGAGGCAGCATCACTTCAGTTCCACCTGGCACAGATGGACTTCTTCGTCACTTAGATTGAGGCCCCAGACTCACTCCAGGAGTGGGACTGTCTCAGTCCCACCTCATTCTCACTCCCTTTGGCTCTCAGGCTACTGGGTCTCCTTTTCTTTTGGCGCGCCATTGGATTGCAAACCCAGCAGGCATGGTTTCATTCCAAACCCAAAACTGTTTTAATTAGTTTAACGTCTGTTAAACGCTTTGAAGATTGAAAGCAACAGATAAGTACTGGATGATGTTATTAACAACTGCAGTTAATTGCAAACATTTCTATTAATACTAGTTTCCGCCTCCTTTTCTTTGCTCTACTTTCCTTCCCAGGTTCCCCAATTCTTCTCAGCCTCCCCCTTCTTCCCTCCTCTTCCCCCCTTCCCCGCCCCCGTACTGGCGCTCAAGGGTTAAATTGGGGCGGAGTCCAGGGATGAACGACAGCCGCAGTCACCAACTGGAACGGGGTGAGCGAGAAGAGCTGGGTGGGGCCACGGGGCAGAGGCGAACCCACACGCCCCCAGACCCCGCCCCGCAGCTGAAGGCCCCGGGTGGAACGGCATGGGGCGGGGCGCCAAGGCTTGGCGGGTTCGGTGGTTGGGCGTCCCGGCAGCCGCTTGAGGCACGGGGCGGGGTCGGCCGGGGCCTCCTCCCTCATTCCCTCCGCGGGGCCGAGCCGCCCGTCTCTCCCGCTTCTCCTCCTCCCTTTTCCACCCCTCGGAGTGGAGCTGCACTTGCGGCTGCTCCCTGCTCGGTTCCGCCCAGCCTCCGTCGCGCAGGAACGCGTCCCTGCAGTCCCCAGCCGATGGCAGGACAGTAGCCGCCTGTCAGGGGTCGCGAAGGGCTGAGGCAGACGCGGCGGCTCCCGGGCCTCAGAGAGTGGGTGTCTCCGGAGGCCATGGGCTACCCCGAGGTGGAGCGCAGGGAACTCCAGCCCGCGGCAGCGCCGAGGGAGCGCGGGAGCCAGGGCTGCGGTTGTCGCGGGGCCCCTGCCCGGGCTGGCGAAGGGAACAGCTGCCGGCTCTTCCTGGGGTTTTTTGGCCTCTCGCTGGCCCTCCACCTGCTGACGTTGTGCTGCTACCTAGAGTTGCGCTCCGAGTTGCGGCGGGAGCGGGGAGCCGAGTCCAGCCTTGGCGGTGCCGGTAACCTCGGCACCTCGGGCACCCTGAGCAGCCCCGGTGGCCTCGACCCCGACGGTTCCATCACCCGCCACTTCGGGCAGCCATCCCCGCAGCAGCAGCTGCTGGAACGGGGAGAAGCTACGCTCCCCCCAGACGCCCAGGACGGGCACCAGGTGAGTCACTCTGGAGGGGCAGGGCCCCCTCCCCATGTGCGCAGGGCGGGGGCCCGGGGAGGACTTTGCCACCTCGAGCCGAGTTCGACGGCGGGATCGGGGAGGGGGCGGACGAGCTGGGGAGAGGTCGCCCCGGGGCAGGTTGTCCTCGGTCCCTGGCCCAGCTCACCCTGACTCTCTCAGGACCTCCGGACTTGGGAACTCTGGCCGGCGCCCGCCGCCCCCAGCTCCGGCTGCCTCGGGAAAAGTTGGCGGCGCTCCCGGCCGGGCCGCGGCGCGAAGGTGCGGGCGCTGCCCCCCTGGCTGACTAACGGCAGCAGCCTGGCCCTTCTGCTCCCGGTGAGATTCTGCGCCCGCGGTGCTTGTTTTTTCGTGTCCAGAGCTCATGCCAGCACTAGCAGGCTCTCTTTTGGAGTTGGAGCTGTAAACAGCTGTAATAACTGCTCCACGCCCGTTGAAACAACTTTGAACCGTGTTTTCTGCGCCGGGGTGCTGGTGCACTGACCAGATCGTGGGCTTGTTCACACTTACCTGCAATTTGAGACGGATTGTCCTCGGTGTTCTAGTGAGGATCAGCGCCCCTGAGGAATTCTGGTAGAAATATGCCGTCTTGCTAGACAACTTCTGAAACAGCAATTTAAAAAATCTTTGGAATAAAACTCACCCTTTGCATGCCGGTTCTGACTCTTTTTTTGGGGAGTGGGGTGGGGAGGGTTGGTGTGAAGTGTCTTCACTCCTGCTTGCTTGTGAGCAGGAATCTACTGATGGAATAATGACTCAAGAATAGTCTCCCAGTTTTTTTATTTGTTTGTTTTGGTTTGTTTTTTGTTTCTTTTGTTTTTTAATACAATCTTTATGGTGTTTGTGCCCTGGTTAGCAAACTGTTAGCTTTGGTGTTTGTTTTCTACTTTTTCTAGCTCTTTATTTAAGGAAATTTAGCGCCCTAAAACCAAGTATTCTCTTGTTTGCCATTATTTTGTTTCACGTAAAACTTAAGAGAAGCAGCCAAGAATCCTTTTGAGGTGGTTAAAGAATAACAGTCAATTTGTTCCTCTTGGGGAAGAGGGCAAGTTGTACAAATAAGTTCCTTGAGGTGAGTGACCCAGGCCTTCTATATTTATTACCACATCCAGAGTCATTGTCATACTCTGTAAACATTTTTAGTGCTACTTTGACCACCCATCCAAAGTTGGTGTCACATTCATGATAATGCTTTAATATTAGGGCGGACACAGTTTCTACATTTTGCGTTGGAAGGTTGTCCTGAGCCTTAAAATGTTTTGCTAGCACACTTCAACTTATATAACAGCTTATCAAAGAAGAGAATCAGTAGACATGCTTCTCATACTTGAAACTTTAAACACAGTAGCTAAATGATAATTAACTAGGATTCTGGTTCCCTTTATCTATCCACCTCCCAACAACAAACCCTCACCCCTGCCCCGCGACTATGCCCAGTAGAAATGCTTAGCAGCTGAACATTGGTTTTCTGTGAAAAGATGAAGGAATTGAACTTCCTTAGTCAAATGGTGGCAAGGCCTTTTGGCATTCAGAATGGACAGACCCCTGTTTGTAGGCTGAGGATTAGTAGCACAGCTGTATTCTGGGGCTCCTGTGATGGTGTAGGATTCTCATAGGGTCTGTAATGGCATTTAGTTGCCTTTGCGTGGTGCTTCAAATAGTTCTGTCTAGGTTTAAATACAGCGCCTTATCTTCTGTCCTTTATTTTTTCCGTTTTAATCTTTTGGAGAAGTAATAACAAGCACACTGGCCTTTTGCATTTGCTGACACCAATTGGAGTCAGAGTTTTTTAGAGTTATGAGGGGCCGTGAATCCATTTGATCATTCCCCTTGGAGAGCACATAGTTCCTATGGGGGAAATGACTTGTCCAAGGTCATACAACTCTGATCAAAATTAGAATGGAAGTTGGTCTCTTTACTCCCAGTTCAGTGCCCATTCCCCTATAATATACTACTTCCTGGAGCCTTTTGTCTGGTAGCTGGGTAGAGCTATGGAATTTTTGCAAAGGAGAGGGCTCCGATCTGCATCATTTTCTTCTTCTCTACCTACATTTTGGCCAGACTATGTTTAACCATGTATTCCTTATTCTTCCTGAACTTCACTTTCAGGAGAATTAGAGTATGCTTTGAAGGAATTTTAGCCCAGATTCAACATAAGTTTTCTTGAGGGCGTTAGTTTTAGTATACCAAGAAAAGAAAAAAAAAAAAGGAAACATTGATTGACTATTAAATTAGTATGGCTACATCTTGGGTAAAATTTCCAGTGCCCTGGTGCACCCTCTGCTGGCTTTGCAAGGACATTTAATTGCAGTATTGCTGACCGTCAAGATTCTAAGTTGTGCTGACAGAATCTGATTCATAAATAAGGAAGTAAACAGCCTGTGGGATTTGGCCACGTAGGTCATATTTTTATATTTTAGTTTTCAACACAAACAGCTGCTGTTACAGCAGCTCTTAGATGGAGAGGAAAAAAGATAAAAATATACACCCTTCAATGAGCAGAACATTCAGGTTTCTCACTAGTTTATCTGCAAGGAGTGAAGGCAAACTGATGAGAATAAATTGCAGTAAGATCTCATGAGACCAAGTGGGCAGAATAGTCAGAGGCACTTCATTGTATAAGGTCATGCAAACCTATTCATGCTTATGAGATGATGGGCTCAGTTATGATTCAAGAAAGGGATCTAGAAGTCACTGAAGATGTATGTATGTCATCCCTCAATTTAAAAACTTTAAAAACAGAATACAGAAGGAAATTAGGGCAGTCAGGATGCATAGCAGAGAGATCAGCAAAGTTCTCCTAGGGACTTATTAGAACAGCCTTCCCAGTGGGGGCACAGTTGCTTATGATAAAAAATGAAAGGGTCACTTTGGACCTTCTGGAATCATACCTGTCTCCTTCAGCTGGAGTAGCTGAGTATCTGTAGGTTTATCTGGATACTCATTGGAGATGATCTCAGGAGCTAAATACATCTCATCAGTCTCTGAGTTAGACAATACACAATATTATTGTTAGGGTAAAAAAGATTAAAATAAAAATCACTGTTTATCTGTCTGTGAAGAAGTTGGCCCAGTTGTGATTTTGGTCCTCAAAGCCGAGAATATGGTGGGCATTATCAGGAAGGGTGTTGAAAACAATGATGAAACAAAACTCTTATCTTTTCCATATAAAAGACCAAAAGTGGATTTGCATTCACAATCATATAGGTAATTCTGGTGGCTGCTCATCAAGAAAAACTTAACAGCTGATACAAATCCCCAGAAAACAAATTAAATTGATCAAAAGGTTGGAGGGACTTTCTAGTTGTTTTTTCACTCTGGAGAGATAGGTTGAGAGAGGGTGATGATCAAAGTCTACTAAACCATGAGAGAGATGAGTAAGGTCAATAGACTGGTGTAATTTAACAATCTAGTTCAATAAATAGAAAGCCTGCTATGAGTCAGCCACTATATTAAGTATTAGAGATCTTTTAATGCTTGAAAGATTATTTTGTGGGGGAGGCAAATAAAGGTAGTGTCTCATTCAGATGATTTCCCCAAGAGATACTGTAACTGAAACTCTAAGGTTTAAGTGTTTAGAAAAATATGTTTGTGTAGACTTATAAGGGTTTGTTGGGGACTGTTAGCAATATTTGGAATATGTCTCTAATTATTTGAGGTGATGTCATAGAAGTCAACGTTAACTTTGCACAAAACATCTCTGGTTTAACTAGATAGGACATCAGTATATCTAGATTTGATGTTAATTATTAAGGCCTGTTGATCAAGAAAATGACTGGGAATCGCTAAATCCAAGAATTTTTTAGGGGAGTGGGATCCAGATAAGATCATTTTCTATAGGTTTAAATCTAGATTTTTTCAGTGTGACATTCAAGGCTTTTGATCAACTGGCTGCATTATACCTATCCCATTTTCTCTCTTACCGATTCTACTCCTGCAACTCACCCACCATATCCTGTCTTGGAATCATTCTCCAGTTATTGCTGTTATTGTGTTTAATAAAACTTGTGTCTTTATATTAGGGGTCCTTGGAAATCTGCCTTCCTTTTTGTCTTTTTCCACAATACGTGGTACACAGTGCTGATTATAGTTAGGGTACTTAAACACTTGTTGGCTTGAATTATTATTTGGGGCCTTTAGAGATGTTCATGTAAAACAAAGACATCTGTAACAGGCCTGTTTTCCTCAGGCCTTGCTAAGCCTGTGAATTGTTAACTGTGCTTAGGTGAGTAGATAGTTCCACTGGCAATGTCTCACTGGTTTCTAGAATCATTAGATAGTAAAATGGAGAAAAGCCCTAACTACATTACCTCTATGATGGTGCAAAGAGTTTTTTGTAATGTATTATTTGATGTTTTGTTTTATTTGCATGTAGGTCTCATCTTTCTTTCTCTCTTAGATCTTGTGAAAAATAACTTGAAGTTTATCTGTGATTACGTTATAGAGAAGATCTCTTTATACTAGAGAACTTCTGAAGCCCTTTAATCCCCAAGAACATGACCAAGAGAAACCACTTGCGTTGCCTGCAGGGTGACCCTCATAGAGGACCAGTTTTATCTGACTAGTCTATAAATACCCATCACTTAGCTCTTCATTTCTTTTCCCCCCACTTTTCTATTGAAGTGTAACATACATACAGAAAAGGTCACAAATCATAATTGTACAACTGGATGAATTACTGTAAAGTGAATACAGTAATGTTACCAGAACTCAGGTCAAGAAACAGAAATAGCATCTCAAAACCCCCACCATATCACTATACCATCCTCCTCCAAAGTGAATGACTGACCTGATGTCTAACATGATAGATTAGTTTTGCCCATTTTGAACTTGATATAAATGAAATCAAATAGTATGTATTTTGGGGGGGAGCTTTTTTTTTTTGCTCGATGTTATGTTTTTTGATATCCATGATGTTGCATGCAGCTGTAGTTTTTTATTTGTATTTTTGTATATTATTCCCTTGTTTGAATATACCA